ATATTCGCTGCTGATTACTACCGAAAAAATGATATTGGGGACAGCCTTACTACATACTTCAATCTAGGCTTCCTAATTAAATATATTTTCCAGGAGGAATTTTCGACATCCCCTTTTGAGACCCGTTCAGCTTTCCATCTCTTTAAAAAGGACTGACTTTGACTAAGAGCTGCACTGCTGCCATTTCTATGGAAATCACTTTCAACTCTTCGATGCTTGCATCTCACGTTTTACATTATAATGAAACGGGCTGTTTTGATGACAAAGCACCCTTCTAAAAGACACACTTAATGACTGTAATTGAATTTATAAGCCACAGTTTTATGTGAAATATGGCGTCTTGTGCCCAAACTGACAGGACAAAATGAGTCCGTTAATGATTTTTGTCACACACACACACACTGCAAAAGGTTCATCCCCCAGGCTGGTTTGCCCTTGAATTTGGAGAACTGACCCCATTCACTTAGGCTATTACCCATCTGTCCATGGAAGGGACAGCTGGAAAAGCATTGGAAATATTGATATTTTTTGTGACAATTTTGCCCTTGCTCCTTTTAATAAAGATATAGTTCGCTATGAATTTTAATAGAAAAGGGGTAGTCTCTGGGGCCATGTATATTTTTCTCTCTGTCCTCTCTTATTATCGCCGTGTTTTTACAAGATGAAATTAACCGTCATTGCATTGAAATAGAAAATCACGGTGTGTTCCTGCTATCTGATTAAAAAAGGATGACCAACAACATCGTAGTGAGTGTATCTGTTTGTTGCTTGCTTTCCACAGAGGAGGAGTACAAACGTCTGAGTGAGGCTCTGGCAGATGAAGGCACCTACACAGCAGTGGCCTTCAAATACAGCGCTGACTACTACGACCCCTCTCAGCCCACCGAGGAGGAGGAGGCTAACAGAGAAGCCGGTGAGAACACCAAACACTCTCAAACTGGCCTAAGCATTCAGATACAAAAAACTGCTTTTATTGGTAGATCTAGTACCGCAAATATCAAGGGATTTTTTTATTAAACCAAGTTATTGGTTATTCAAAGTAATCACATCACTGTATACATAACAAAGAATCCTTAAGAACCCAGACATCTCTGTGATTCTATCCTTGACACGATTGGGGTGTGATCTGTACCCTGTCTACATTTCTAGCTGCTTCACTTTTTTTAATTTTCAGCCGGATATGAGAAAGTTCTTTCTAATCCTTTTTTTTCATTTCTTTATTTCTTTAAACTATTCTAATCCATGCGGCCATCTGCGCATACACGTTCTCCAGGGGAATGAATTGATTGATTGAATTTCTGGCTGCAGAGCACACAGTGAACGTGTGAAACATATTTATGTTTAATTCAATATTACCCAACATGACCATAAAGGTTTATTATAGCTATTTGTAACATCCATCTATCGAGCTGAGGTTGTAGTACACAACAATTTGATCTGTGAACACTGGATTTTGGCACATTTCTGTTTTGGTTGTCATCCATTGATTACTGACTTCACACACACACACACACACACACACACACACACACACACACACACACACACACACACACA